TTGAGTCTTTGTTTGCTGATGCTGATTGTTGATAGTGTTTAGGCCAAGGGTTGTCGTCTGCGGGGGGGTAACCAGGGTCTGCATGTATGCGGAGGGGTCTCCACACAGTTACCTCCACCAGGGCCCAACAGTCCCCTCATGAAACCACCTTCACATTCTCTAGATCTGGATTTTTATTTGGATGTGTTATGGAGAATATAACTGACTCTTCCCTGGCAATCAGTAAAAATATGTCAAAACTTAAATTATTCAACACTAAAGAAAGCGATAAATGAATTGTGGATTACCTCCTTTGTGGGTGCCAGAATTTAATGGGTTCTTTCTTGGCCCATGTTTCATCACTCCAACAAGTTTTGCTGAAATGTGTTCAGTAGTTTTTTGGGGTAATCCAGCTGGAAATTAAACAATTGGACACAGGGGTGAAAACATAACCTCCTTGGTGGAGGTAATGAAACACATATGTAGGCCTGCACTGACTTATATGAACACACAGTGACATATTAAAGTTTGACATCATGTGCAGTTTCCACTATGGATGTAAAAAAATTTACCATCAGTTAAAATTACTTCTCAAAGTTGATAAATAGTCAGCATGCTTCAACTTCAGTACCTTAATCTGCACAAGTATGTGTTACCATAATCAGGTTTCTGAGAGTCACAACTTTATCTGTGTGTGTGTTTATCTGTATATGTCTGGTTCCATCATGTTTGCTGAGTCTTTATTACTTCTGCCAAGCAGGTTACATTTTCATTTGTGTTTTTAGCATCATTACGCAAAAATAAGAGGACGATTCAGCATGAAACTTTGGAAGGATGTGGTATGGGTCAGAGCAGAAACCATCACATTTTAATGCAGATCCAGATCATTCATTATTTATTTAACATCCTGATATTTCAACATTTCCATTGGTTTCTTGATTAAAAAACAGACATATTTAGGGAACTAATATTTATAAGTTTGTCCAATGTGGTGCAGACCCAAATACAAATCTGGATGTAGTGAATTTAAATGTGGTTTCATAGTTGTTGTGTGTATGTGGTGTTCTCAGGTTGACGTTATAACCTGAGCAGGAAACATCATATTAGTATCTACCTTTCCCCCTGGCTTTTTTTTCATACAGCGACTTTCTTCAGGAAACCAAAGGAATTTCACTACACACACACACACACACACACACACACACACCCAAACAGACCTGTGTGGTTTTACAGCCAACATGTTTCCTATTAACGTCCATTCAGGGGTAGTAAGTTGTTCAAAGATGTACAGTCGAGAGCCTCAAATCACGCCGGATTACCCCCAACCTCCAGGACCAAATCAGCCGAGCAATTTGTTGTCCGACCTGGTTATGTTGTCTGTCTCAGGTGATTCGAGTTGAAGGCTGCTGTGTGCTGAGCGAACACATGTTCTTTTAATGTGGTTACTGTTTTATTCACAGCAAGAGACCATTCAATTATGGAAAATATATCTCTTTACATTTTAGGTGTTTTACTAAACATCAACTTCACAGCAAATGAAAAAGTAGAAAAGGTATTTTCACCAGCAACAACAGAAGAGAACAGTGGAGTTTAGGGTTTAACACCACGACTTCTGCCTGTTACTAATTTACTCATTCCCTGGATTTTTCTTCCCTTATAAAAAGTGACATAAACAAATGAAATTGAAGATGAGTGGTCATACATTTTCATTCAAGCCAATAATCTGCTTTGTTGTTTTTATGTGTATTTTCATGATCATTTAGTCATTGGTTTAATTTGCACCGTATGGCAACATACTCTGCTCTAAGTTCCTGCAGCAGCGCCCCATAGGAAGAAATGAGCTTTGCTTTTAAGGAAGTTTGGAAAAGCAGGTTAGTGGGCTGGAGTAACTTATTATTGAAAGTATTCATGAATAAATAGAATATTAGTGAACACAGGGAAATTCATCAAAAACAGTGAATGCAGCCTCACAGCATGTTACCACCCACTCTGAATAGAAACCTTCTCATCATCACCTGCCTGGAACATCACACCTCATCATTTTCTCGTGGGTTAAACAGATAAGACATCAAATCCTGTCACATTTAGACAGAGAGATATACAAGGCACATCATTTCAAAGTAAAACAGGAATTTAGAAGCTCCAAACAACTGGAAAACAACAACTGGTGCTCTTGAGAAAACAACCCCTCTGCACACCTTGAATCAATCAACTCTCAAACCTCCCGCTGCATTTAAAGAGCTGTTCGAGCACCACTTCTCTGCCAGAACCTTGCGGTAGCACTTCAGCCAATATTGTCTTGTCTGCATTTTTGGAATCTTTATTTGCAACCTGCCTGCTTGCCAGAAATGAACCTGTATCTTTGTTCAGGAGCAGCTACTGCAGCCTGATCAGCCTGCTCACAGTGAGCCTCTCTGCCTCACCCAGTCCTGGAAAACTCTGCACCTTTTTGGAACTGAAGCTCTGGACCACAGATATTGTTACTTAGTTTGCCAAGGATTTTTGTTATTTCTGGTTTGGCCCTAATCATTTGCTTTGTCAGCTGCTTTTTGAGTTTTTTGTAAATAAGTTATTATTTGTCTGCACACTGAGTCCAGTTTTCCCCCAAAAATATAACCAACATTGAGTGGAACAGCTCTGGACTGGATGTCACTTTACTGCAGAGCTATCATACATAACCCCTGTTTCTTGACAGTGTGATGTGCTCCCACACTGCATAGAGGACCTGATGATCCAAATGTGTTTTCACCGTCCCTGGCTGAGCAGCTGATCCATTCTAACACATGCAAACATACATATTGTCACAGCAGAGCTCGGACTCGTGAACAGAATATGACCAAAATAAAACTACACGAATCAAACAAGCCACATGTTGTGTTGTTGGTGCAAACTGACAAATTAACATTCAGGGTGAAATCAAAATGTCAACAAATGGTGAAATGAGAAAGAAGCAAAGTTTTCACAGGATCATTTTGAAATAATATTTGGTCACTTTAAACATTATCTCCTCCGATTAAAAAAAAGTTTAAAGGTCCAGTGTACAAGATTTAGGTGAAATGGAAGAAGAAAAAATAATCCTAGTAGCGTTTTCACTAGTGTGTAATCATCTAGATTGTTTCTTCAGAGCAGCATGTGCTTTATGTAAAAGTCGCTCATATTTTGCTGCATTGTGCCAAACCTCTGCAGCCCCACGACCACATTTTTTAATTCGCTCACATCTGAAAAATGTCCCCGTTATTGCTGTGTCCTGAAATGTCAGATTTAAAAAGAATAAAAGTCTGTAACTTTATCACACCTTAAATGTTCAGCGATGGACCTGACAGACATTTTGTATGTTAGCATAATGTTATGCTGATTGAAAGAATGAACCATCATACTGTGTAATACAATTTGTGTGTCATGTGTACACTATTAAATATGTTTTTATTTTATTATTGTCAGCACTGACTGTGCTGCTTCATCTGTTGATACTGTAAGTCTCTACATCAGTGTGTGTTTTTATTATTCTCTGTTGAACAGTGCGGCTCTCATTCAGACTCTAATTAGCCCACTGGACTCATTTTATTAGTCATAACTGGCTTGTAATGTTTTATCTGCTTTATTAAAAGGATTTTCACACGCTGAGCCGACACCTCTTTGTGTCTGGTTAGATTTTGTTACTCTTCAGCTGATCTGGATCACATCAACGTGTCAGTGAAAATACATATTAATAAACATTCAGTGTGTCAGAGTCTCAGCTGAATAAGCACAGTATAGAAATCCCATAATTATTTCTGACTGTGTCCAAAAAGGCCCAAACACGTAACTCTGACCCTGTAAACCACTTGGTCCACGTCCAAACCTTGTCTCATGTTCCTCGTATGGATCCGTGCAGAGGTCAGAGGACAGAGCTGTACCATGAAATGAATCTGCTCTACATGCTTCCACTTTATTAGAGCTGACAGCTTTACAGAGGCACACGAGCTCCCTGGTTGAGTAGTGAACCAGCACAAATAAATATTTTTGGAATCTCAGGTGTTAAAATATCAGACAGGTTTGTTAATGGGCATCACATGTGTCTTTCCTCTTTACACCTTCACTGGAAACAAGATTTGCTGAATCTGTTTCATTTCTAAGGTGGAAAAGTGTCAAGTGAGAGTCCCACAGAATTATTCAGAGTCTCGTAGCGTTCGAACACAATACCAGGCTGTATGCGTGAGATTTAAACTCTGCGATGCTGATCTATATTCTGCTGAACCTGCAGCAGGAAGTCTGGTCTGCAGAGGTTGCCTGGTCTAGTCTGAGTTATTCTACCTTGCTGAGGTGTGGCAATGCCAGTTTCTATTATCTTCATCATGAGTAAATAACTCTGCATTGCATTCATTGACTTTACATAAGATCATCTTTAACCTGGTTTTAATTTTACATTTGATCTTCAGGTCTCCACAGTTATGGACTCATATGGGTTCAAACCAAGCGGCAACATCCCTTTATATCTTTATATACAGTCTATGGTTCAAACTGATTTTAAGCTTGTAAAGTGATGTTTATTTAAACTGTGTGAATAAAGTCTGTGAACATGTGATATCACATGTGGTTACATTGTGAGAAAAAGACTGCACAGATACAGAGCAGAAAACTGCATCAGCACTCAAAGTTCCCACACTGTGTGTGACCCTGAAGTTACAAATACAAGTCTGTTCATCTGAATCTGATTGGACGATGGTTATCCAATCACAGAGCTGAGCGTAGTGCTTCTGTTACTGGAAATGTGTGCTGGTCTTTAATAGATGACTCTGGGGGCTCCCACATCTTTACATACAAACACTGGATGTTAAATATTTACCATTATTTCGTCATTGCACTTCTAACACTATCAATTAAATGCTGTAATTACCACAGTGGCAATCTTTATTTCCTCCAGTAGAGAAAACTAATACCGTTTCAAAAATCACTTGCTTTAAATTGATCAACTAAATGCTATGACAAAAAAGTCTTGGATGAAAAAATGTTTTTCTGAAGTGAAGACAAACTGATTTTTATTTCATATGACTTTATTGAAAAAGGGCTCGAGTATCAAAGCTAAAACATTGCCTCTTGGTTTACAATCACTAAAAATACACAGGGTTATGTCTCAATACATCTCAGGTATATGAAGAATATGTGTCAGAAGCTGCCTCAAAAGAGGGAAAAGTTATTTCACATTGTTTTGGGCTCCGGAGCAGAACACATGCACCCACTCTGACACGTGAATGTCAAAGAGATGTGAATGTGTTTTGTCATGAAAAACTGTTGTGAACATTTGGTCCAAAATGTATTTCATACACATATTTTCAATTTGCTGGTGAAGTTGCGTGTAAGTAAAGTTTTCAGTATATTTGGCAGATTAATGGTAGTTAATGTCGTGCACAATGGATGTTTGATGAGGATGGCTCTGACAAAACTATATTAAAAACACTTTAGGTCTGTTAAGTACAGCTAACTAGTTGTTGTGTTTAATTCACATAAATTATTAATGAAATGTTGCCCATACATTTTTCAAAGTTTACTACTTTTAAATGATGCAACTTCCTGTTATTGAGATAATTATGACATTATATATTAGAGAAGTTGAGCTTTACAGAAAAGACTATGCAGTCGTTTTTTCAAGATGTAACTGTGGCAATGCACGTCAACAACTTAGTGAAATAATATAAAATCAATGTCCATTAATTTCAATCGCATGAATGGGAATGAAGTTATACTTGTACGACCATTGCACCATAAGTTGAAAGAAAGAGTTCAAACTGGCCATGTAAAACAAAGAAAAACTAAACAAAGACCATTACGACAGGCATCAGGACTTCGATCACAATTTTTATGGGAAGAAAATTGGGCTCTAATTTTGCAGCATGGCAGCAGTTGAGTGAGATTGAATGAAGGCCTGTGGGATGCTGGGAGTGTCCAGATTGAAAGCACATGTCGGTTGCTCGGCTCCCAACTCAAAGGTTTTGTTCTGTTTTGGCTCCTTGGCTCTATTGACACATCATACATCAACCTCAGTAAGGCAGCAAAAAATCAAATCAAGTGTTGGAGGGGTACGGTCGAGCTGAAAAGTTTCTCCTGTAACTCCGTGACAGCCTCCTTTTGTTTTACATCACTGTGTTTTGTACAGAACAGATTTTATTCTGTTGAACCATTTTACCTCCTCAGAGAGCAACAAAACCCGAAAGACTATATCTATCTTGTAAGATGTTTGTATCCACAATGTAAAAAAAACAAAAAAAACCAATATGTTAATAGATGGCGTTTTTTCCCTTTGGAGCTTGAATGTGGTACACTCTGTGATGAACAGATTGTAAACAGACCTTTACGCATGAGTGAAATATTGCATGAAACCTTAAAAATGAAGTTTAATGCCATTTTTTTCTTGCATTTTATGGAATTGCCTTCATTTAGTAGTAACTGCCTACTTTACATTGCATTAAAAAACATTTAGTAAATTTTACACAATATAAAAATAAAAGCATTACATATAAAAGACACATCTGATAATAAAGTGGCTCAAATATATATAATAAAGAATGATTAAAAAAAACAACTTTTACTACTTAACATTCCCTTTGTGACCTTTATGATTCAGCTTTACGTTCTATATGATAATTTAGCTTTTCATTCCTACCCAGGACAGGTGTTGGTACAAAAATACTGTGGTTAAATGTTGTCAGGACATTTACCCCCGTCCCTTTGATAAGGTGTAAAAAACACTTTCTTCAGAATTAGGCTACATCCACATTACTATGTTTTGGTTTGGAAAAGCATCAAATCTCTGCATTACTCCAGAGTTTTAGAGCTGCAAAAATTGTGGTTAAAAAAAGTGTGGAAATGCTGCAGGCCTCGATTTAGTTTGAAAACTTCAGGGCTGCGTTTTAGTTTAGACAGAAATGTTTGGAAAAGATGACGTAGTTACGCACATTGTTGCCTATTTTGGTCTTTTTCAGTCACGACGTAGCCTTCACTGATTCGTCAGGCTCCCATCACATAACCCTCTCCCCGAAGAAAACAACCAGCATTAGCCTTGGCGTCTGTTGTCTTTGCTAACCACTTTTGTGCAGTTCAATTTAGCATGAATTACAATTCCCGTGTCCGACGGTATTTGAGCAGTGTTTGCCCTGTGTTTGTTAGTGGTCATTTGATATGCTTTGCAGGTGTGTTAGAACTGACGGGCATTAATACTGATACGGAGCCAGAACAAAGATCGTTTCAGTTTGAAAACACTGTGATGTTGTAGTAGGGATGCAGCTCTTCTAGAAATCCATGAAATAGAGTTTTACTTTCACCTGTTCTTAATGCATATTTAACTGAATAAATATTTGGCTTTTGTTTACTATTTACTGTTCATTTAATGAGAGAAAAAGCTGCATTGATAAGTGTCGTCTTTATCGGTACAATATGTCCATTTCACTTTTCACTTCAGACTCCATCAACAGCGTTTTAACTATTGTGTGACAGGTTTCATATAAGAAGTCACAGCATCCCGCCTTAAATCTTGCATAAGATAAACAGTGAACTACAGTTACAGTATATAAAAGGCTCTGACCCCTTATACTGGATATATATAGCACCATAGGATCAGTGCTTGTTTCATAAACAGTTTGCATGAGCTTCATCTCTGTTTCGTTCATGCAGCAAGCTCAAAGACAAAGCAAGACCATGTGGTAGCACGACCTGCCCTGATTGGTTGCCCATTAGGGGAGGGAAAACCTCACAGGCCAGCGTCTCAGTCTGCCACATGACCCCCTGGTCTTGGAGTAATGCCACGTTCACCAGTCAAGAGTTGAGGTATTTGTTTTGTTGTAAATAAAACCGATTGTTTTCACTTGGCTGAGTTCCTAAATGTAACACTTCTTCTGTTTGCCAAACCAGATTTGGACCATGAAGGTAGCATTACCCACAAAACCTTGCGTGTGCGACAGAAAGGTCAGTTTGTTCCTTTATAGACGTGTGAAGTTACAAAATACAATAAACACACAGTCAGAGTTAGTTCCTGTGAAGCACATTCACACATACACACTCTTATGTCAAAAGTCCAACGTTCACACACACGCACACACACACACACTGTATATCTGACATTAACATGCATCCTGTCATTCCGAGGTGTAACTGCATTAGGTGCTGTCACAGGGCGTCGGAGGTGACTACGTGGGCGTCCGGAGGGATCGGTGGTGGTGCTGCATGGGGACGGCACGGTTTGGCTGTGAAGTGCTGGTTCTGCGAGTGGTCCAGGGAGGTGGACGGGTACATACAGCGTGTTTACATGCATCCGTAGCAGTGACAGGGAGGTATATACTGCAGGTCCGGCACAGGCCTGAAGACATACACGTCTTCCCTCGTGTTTAGTTTTTCTTGTTGTTGCGTCTTCTGGATTTCTTCACCCTGGAGAGAGATTCATAAAGATGAGAATGTATGAGAGTGACAACAGCTACAGTACAGTTCTGAAATGAACGGTCATAGATTCTCTAAATATGATGCTATTAGACAACGATTAAGGAAAACACACATGGATGATCTGCTGTTTGAGGAGCTTATTTAAAAAATGTCTGTAGAGGATGGTGAATCTGGTGAACCTCACACTGCTCGGATACACTTCAGATGAAAATACTATACTTTTACTATCACTTCATTTGCCCAACTGCTAAAACTGTTAAACCAGTGGTTCCCAACATTTTAGCAAGAGCTATTTGGGGCACTACTTTTCTGATTGTGTAAAATCACATAATATTTAAGAAAAAAATAGTTAAATTTAAAGTCGGTTTGATGTCTACCCAGTTCATCAGCTTACAACCCTTGAGATTTATCTGCGGACGTCTGGAGGAACCTGACCCACAGGTTGGGAATCACTGAAGTACTGACAGTAATCAAGTTAAATAGCTTAACCAGCTACAGCAGTGAACTGCTGCATTGGTAGATCAGGATTGAAAATGTGATGTTGTCTGTTACTGCGTCAGTCACTGGTGTTGTTTTTCTCTTACTTTGAATACATTTTGCTTAAAATATCTTTTCTTAAATTGGACTTTGAATTCAGTAACTCTTGAGTGTTTTTGTTTCTACATTTGTGTAATTAAAGGATCTGAACATCTGTTACTGACTAACAGTAACTTAGATAACTCCCTACAATAATAAAAACGCTGTTGGGGAACAGAGTCCAGGCAGCAATGATGATTCCTGTTAAAAATGTGCACTTTGTTTCTGACAGAGAATCTGTGTAACGGGGCACTTGTGAAAATAACATGGTGCTCAGCAGAGTCGTGGACATGTTGAGGCCTCTCGTGTTGGCAAAAATGAACAAAACAGCATATAAATGTCATTTCTGTGTAACTGAACATGAAAAGGGAGATAAAAAAGCAGCCACACTGCACAAATGAGTTCAAAAAATAATTTCAGTTGTTTTCAAGATTGTACGTGAATGCCATATTCTTGTAACTGCAACGTTTCTTATATGTGTAATGTGTTTGGTCATAAACCTGGAAGGTAAATATTCAATCTATGTTTATAAAATCCCTCATATCTGCATTCAGTCATGTCTCTGCTCCTGAGGACGCTAGAGATCGTGTGGTTCAGGTGAGGATCATGGTTTTGTTACAGAGGAAGTTCACAGTGAACTCAGGCTCAACTTTGTTTATGTATAAAACAATAATCGTTCTGATCTCAATCGAGGCGCTTTTGTTTGGAGCCATTTTTCCTCAGATGGAACTCGAACACTTGGACCCTGTTCAGACCTGGTATTAACATCCTGAGTGATCCAATCACAAATGGTCAAGTTTTAAGTACAGGTGTGAACACACTGAAGACACATTAAGGACTCATCTGAGGTCAGGTCACTCAGAGCACATTAGGAGGTGGTGTGTGATGCATGGGGCCATATACTGTATGAAGGACCACCTGCTCAGCTGACAGCCACTACACTTTCACATTTACCATACATTGCCTTATTTGTGTCCACCAGCAGAATATTAACACTGACTGCCACTTTTTGATTTGACATCTTTTTGAAAAAGAAAATCTAAATTCACTCACTTCAAATCTTGTTTCATTGTAAAGCTACAAATTGAATCACTCTGGCTTTGCTCTCTCTTTATTTCTCACATTAAAAAGACTCAAAACAGATGATACTCATCTTGGAATAGTCTCAGTCTAAATAAATAGGTTCATGTAAAGTAAATAAGTGTGGTAATGGTGCATTAATCAGAAACGACATGCATGTTTATTTGCATACAGAACAGGGAAGTGAGATCTGAGGCTGGATGTTAATACCGGGCCTGAACGGGGCCTTATTCTCCCACCATCCACCACAACCAGCTCCTGGCAACTCTGCTGCTGTTAATAAATGCAAAGCTTCATTAATTCATTGATTGCGTCCAAATGATTGCGTCCAAAAAAGGTGTTTGCAGTTTGGTTGTATTAAAAACATAATTCCTGACAGACAAGGTTGGTGCTGGGCCTCACGCCAGCTTCAGTGAACTACATTGATTTTTTTAAAAGTGTTTAATTCACGTTATTCCTTTGCTAACACAATGAAACAATATCCCATAATTCTTTAGAAATGACTTTATTATTAATTTTCACACTGTGCACCTCAAGTGTTTATGGTGTTTTAATAAGCAGACCTGCAGCCTGGCGATAATCACCTCCAGATATATTGGGGAACATACTCTTTATGAGGAATTGCGCACATTTTAACTTTGCAGCTCATTTAAAATTAAAGGGGCTGCAGCAGGTTTTTACTATCAACAAGAAAAAAAAGGGAAGTCATTTTAAAACTCATTAAGTTTTTGCTACAGCCTGAGACGCATGTTATGAGAAAGAAGGAAGCCTGAAACACCAGCGGCAGATTTATCAACGCTCTTACTCTAATTACGTCACAGATAATAACTCAGCTGATTACATCCACCGTGTCCGTGATTTGGGAGAGTAATTGTTGGCAGGAAACTGAGAAATGACCGTTTTTTTACACACGGTTTATTTCTTCTTTGCAAATCTCCAAACTCAGAGAGCAGCTCAGAGAGCAGCTGTATTTCAGGCAGGGGAGTGAGGAGGATTCTCTTACTTGTTGATGGCGTTCTTTAAGTACTGCTGCAGCCACTTGGTCTCTGGGTTGATGCAGACTTCCCTGTTGCTCTTCAGTTTGGCACTGCAGGAGAAAAAACACAAAGATCAGACTGTATCTTATATTATCTTATATTGATTAACCTGTTTTATGTCCAAATGTACAGGGGGGTGGGATGTAACAAAGTACTTTTACTGCGTTACTGTACTTCAGTACATTGTTCATGTATCTGTACTTTACTCAGGTAGATCTATTTTCAGGTACTTTTGACTTTTACATCACTACACATAGTATGAGATATCTGTAATTTCTACTCCACTGT